CAATCGTATTTTAAAAATATCTTAGATTTGAAATAAAGTCGATTGCCACCCGTTTCTTACAATTTTTTTTCTTAGTTTCAATTTAGCCGCAGATTGATTTTGTACGTAAAGCTTTTAAACTTATTGCCAGTTTTGCAAATATTTATTAACTTCAAGATTAATTTACTGACTATGTTTATCTTTCTCCTAATCTTAGTTCTAGAGCCAAAAAAGATTAATTCAACTTAGTTTAACAAAGGTTTAACCGACATTTGTAAAACAAAATAGACTTTTAATGATCAGACTATCAGTAACAACAGACCTTCAAAAGAATTACTTAAAAACTTAAACTATATGTACATACATCGCACATAATTATTTGCAGATTAGAATTATTTGTTGTATCTTTTTCAGCATAATAGCACAACCTCATATAATATAATAGAATGCATACAGTCAGACTAATTGGTATATAATATCTTATTTCTCAATATGTATAATCGATGAAGCATTGAATCTACATATATACTGACTATTTCTGCATTTTATATTCAGCCATCCATCCTGCTTAAAAGAAAAAAGATGTAAATTAAAAAAAAAATTTATTTGTAATATCTTGAGATTGTGAATACATTTTTGGTCATTAATCAATTGCAAGTTTATTTATAATGAAATGACGATAAATCTGTAAGCATCTAATAAATAATACAATAAAGGTAAAAAATTACTATAATATTATATGTATTAATGTATACGATACATAGGAATTATTTAAAAAAATTAGAATTATTTAAAAAAAAAGTTTAATCTTTTTCTTAACGAAAAATACTACACATACTAATCATACGACAAAAAATCTGTTTTGTATGTACAATATATATAATATTTTGATCAATTTTTTTAATAAATAAAAATTATCTTATGGTAAATATATCTCAGATTTATAATAATTGCAGTGGTATAATTTTAACATAATTAACATGATATTATACAAGATATAACATTTACTCCTATAATATTATTTTATAAAATGAAAGAATTATATTTTATTATATTTTATATATCTTATAAAATCTTTCTTATAATTGAATATTTATTTACGGAATAACATTTAATTCAAAAGTAAAGTTACATTGTCCACTATTGTGTTCTTTGTGACATGAAACGGTTTCGAGTGTTGTGATTTGAATGTGTTCGATTTGCGTCAACCACAACATGATTATTCCAAGTGTCGATAATTTAATTTTACACCAATAGTGATACAACTGTGAGAATATTACGCGTTTCTGTTTAGTGTATAATTATTAACGGCATAGATCATATGACACATAATTTGCATATATAACCATTTTATATTTATATAAAATTATTTTAATATTATTGGATAAGATTTTTTCTAGATAAAAATTTTGCAACTAAATAAATAACTAATTTTTTGTAACAAATGCTTGATAAAAGATCAACATTTAGTTTTTATACAATTTTTAATTTTTAATACAATATGTTTGATTGTGAAAAACTAATATCTTAAATCGTCTCAGAAAAAAAATATATTTTCTTATAAATTTGTACAATTTACTTTGTCTTTACAAATTAAACTAAACATATGTTTAATAAATTATTTATACAATATTGTTAATTAAAAAATTTTTAGAAAATTTAAACTTTCTGCAAATAAATAACTTTAAAACACTTTTGTATCATATACCTAGCGTATCCTATCACATACCTGTATCCTATGATACGAACTAGGCGAATTGTTTGCATAATGATAATAAGATCACAAGATTTAAAAAGTCAATTAAACTTTCTGGACTCTTATAATGGTATCGATAAGATCAAAACTATCGCAAAGTATAAATCATTTCAGAAGAATCTTACTTCAAAACATGATTGTGTCAAAATATTTAATATTAAAATATTAAGAGATGCAAAAATTAAAGTTTTGTTGTGAAAAAGCCTGTATTAAATTTTGATTAAATAAAAGAACCAATTTCTTTACTATTAGATTTTTTTTTCGTTTATAATAGATTTAATATTTGCATAATTATTAATATTTGCATACTATTAGATGATTAATTCAAGTGTTGGATATAGACATGATTAATCCAAGCGATCGCATATATACAAAAATAAAGAAATACATAATTTTATATAACTCTTTTATATGTATATCTTCCACGTAACATTTAAAATTTAATTTAATATATTATATAAATTATTTATATTTATATTTAACATTTCAATTTGTTGTTAAATTTAAATTTTAATATTATAAATTTAAATTTTAATATTATAAATTAAAGTATTTAAATTTACAAGGCTAGTTAAATCCGCTGTTATTGAATGCACAGATAAAAGGTATGATAGTTTATTGAATATTTTATTTATATGATAATTTATCGTATAACGATATTCATAAAAGACATGAAATGCATTCCTATTTGTGAAAATAAATGGACGTTGTACATCAAACATGTCTTCTTTTAGACTATGCATTTTGCATGGATATATAATGCATCAGAATAGAATTTATTACCGCTGTGCTTTACTGACTGCTCGAAATTTCCGTACAAAGCATTTGTATGAGAGGCGATGTATCTCTACATGATATTATTTATTAATAAAAGATGAGATATTATAATAATTAAATAATGTGTGATACTGAGTGAGAATAATTTTCTTTATAAATATAGTGATACTCGATAGATGCTGCGTATAATCATTTATACAAATAACAAAATTAATAATAAATTCCGTATAATATACATGATTTAAGACATTTTAAGACGATCTATTACAAAATGTTTCTTGAAGAAAAAAACTGATTATAATAATTAATTTAATAATCATATTAGATGGCCCGTTAACTTCAAAATGTCACCTGAATATAAATAAAAATTTGATATGAAAATTATTGCATCTAATATCAAAACGATTAACGCTACAGTATACTTATACTCTTTATGAAAATATTTACAGTGAATAAAATAAATGTAAAATTTTCATCAATTACTTTTTTCCATGCTTTTAATTTTTGACACATTCTCTCTCTCTCTCTCTCTCTTTCTTTCTTTCTTTTTCTTTTTTACCTCAAATATTTAAATAGAGGCTATTAAATGTGACGAAAAAAGTAATTTAAAAGATCAACTTTACATATAATTTATATTTAAAGTGAACTTTATAAATTAAGAACATAATTTATTTACATTTTCACAGCTTTATGTTCATTTAATAAGCATTTTCGCGTAATAATATTCTTATATTTCCCCGCTTGTCATTTCAATCAAAAAACATCATGAAAATTCTAATCAGATTCAAATTTTAGTCAGATTGGAGATCGCGAATGATTTTTATATTCGATTGATAAATTAATATCAGTTACGTAACACAAAGATATACAAGATTATTAATTCTACTATGAATAAATCTAGTAAATGTATTAATACCATTAATTTTATTAGTTCTCTATTCTTTTATCTAAAAGCTTAGATCGTTTACACGATCAATAAACGATAGCTTATCGTTCTGATATGTTATCTAAAAATGTGCAAGATATAAAAATTGCTTCTCTACTCTGTATCGATTAATTCTACTTCAAGTGCGCAGATGTAAAAGTCATAAAATTGCATCAGAGTTTGATAGTCTTTTAATAAGTTGTGCTATCTTACTGTTTTAAGATTATTATTATTGACACATGAAGTTTATCATTTACAAATTGAGTTGGGTTAAAGACTAACTAAAAATACATGTATCTCACTTCAACAACATCATTGTTGTATATTTTTGAACAGAATAAGGAAATATTTATGTCTAATATTATAAGATTATTCAAACATAATAAAATTAAAACAGAGTTAAATAAGAAAAAGTATTGAAGATTTTTCTAATAACATATTAATAATATTTCTTGGCTTGTACTTCGTTAACTAATGTATTTGATTTATAAACATATTGAGTAGATTAATATTATATTGTATTGCATGTACAGAATTGATTTTTATATTCAATTGCAAGGTATAAAAAAACGATCAAGTCAAGAAATGATCACTTTTTTTAAATAAAAAACTATAATTTTTCTATTTGTGTTTTAATAAGAGTTTAGTTAAATAATATAAAACGGCCAGAGTTTAGTTATTTGCAAAAAATTTATTCGGTCTGGCCAGACAAGAACAAACCTTTATTATAGGTCAATTAACAATTTTATTGCTGTGTTAATGATAATGATAAGTAAACATTCTACTGTCCTAAAATATATGAATTTAATGATCTCGTGTATATATCAATTTTTTTGTACGCGTATAACATTATAATCAATTTTGATCTTAATTTTTTCTCACGCACGCGTGCGCGTGCACACACACATACACACACAATTACATTATTACATTTATTATATTGAAAAGAATAAAAACCTGATTTACAAGATTTTGTATTAGAAAAAGATTGATTTTGTTATACTTCATTAAACTTATAACTAAAAACATACATATGCAGTATTAAAAAATATAAAAACATTAAAAGAAGAGTAATTTTCTTTTTCTATATTTATATAATTTTTATTTGTTTTTTTGACTTTATTTCTTTTATAGATTGTCGAAGCAATATCGTACAATTTTATCAATATAATGATTTAAAATCTCGTCTCGAATTGTAATTGAAAATTATGATTTTTCTTTAAAATATTTTAAAGAAAAATTTACATTTTTTCCCTATAAAGCTATCATTTTATATTTATCACAAAAATTAGATTTAATTAAAAATATTGCCACTCTTTTCAAATACTTTATACATAACCATTTGTGAAGTTATGCAATAAGTTGAATAATAAGCTATTCATAATATTTTTTTCATTATCACTAAGTTACTTGATTTATGTATAAACAAAGACCATGAAAGATATTGTATATCTATATTAATAATATTACAATTGCTGTGTTGGATAAGAACATACTAAATATTGAAAAATTTTTACCTAATTTTTTTAAAGTCACGATACGTATTTTAAAAAAATAATTTGCTGAAAATTTTAAATTATTTTATATATACATATAATTGAGGAAAAGTGGATTCTTGCTACAATTTGAAAGAGCAACTTTATATAAGTATATAATTCCATGCTTGATGAATTGTAAATATGCTTCATCACTGTCCCTCAATTCCATGTCCGTTCGATAATTGTGTAACAGGAGTTTTCGATTGTCTCGCTCGCAATTTCAACCAAAAGCCAACGTCTGGCATCATGACAAATGATTTCTTTGTAAATACAATAGGATTTCTGGTTTTAACATCGGGTTCGATATCGCAACGCCAAAGCAGATAAAACATCATAATTTTTGCTTCCATTAGGGCGAATCTATTACCTATGCAGACTCTGGGTCCGACACCAAATGGTATATAGACCGAATTGTCCACCTGATCGTTAAGGAATCTTTCTGGATCAAATTTGTTTGGCTGTGGATAATACTGTGGATCGCGATGCAGAGAGAAAGCTGGGAACCATATGTTTTCTCCAGGCTTTATTATGACTGGTTCGCCGTCTGAAGTCGCTGGTGGCAATTCGGTTTCTTTGACACATTTTCTGTCTACGAAAGATGCTATCGGATATATTCTGAGAGTCTCGTTTACCACGGCGTCTAAGTACTTCATTCGATTGATGGCCTCGTAGGTAGGTTTACCGTTGGTCTGTCTGACAACATCATCAATTTCTTCCCTTAATTTTCTCTGAACATCGGGATTGACAGCGACTTCATGAACTATAAAACTCATGGTTGATGAGGTACTATCGAATCCGCCGAGAAAGAAAACGAATGCCTGGGCGGTCATTTCGTCAATGTCGAACTTAGGTCCGCTACCTTTGTTCCTGGTCTCCATCATCAACTGAATCATGTCCGGACGAAAAATTCCCTGCTCGTCTCTGGTCTTAACAGTGGTGGAAAGGATATTTTTGAAAAAATTCTCTATCTTTGGGCCAAACATTCTGAGCTTGAGGAGTTTTGCAAGTGGCGTGAAGTTTCTATGCATGAAGAACTTGAAGGACATCCAGTTGTCAAAAGTCATTGCTTTCTTGGCAAGCAAGATGAACTCGTTGTTCGGATGCTTAAAAGAATCCACGCTGATGCCGAAGGCACACGTGGCCACTGTATCGTTGGCGAATCTGCCCAGTAATTCTTTCATATCATATGTCTTGCCGGTTTTCCCGGATTCCGTTGCCACAAAATCGACGAAGTTCTCGACGCACTGAGTCATAAGTTCGAACATCATCTTCATCTTGCTGGACGTGAAACTAGGGCTAAGAAGCTTTCGCATCTCGCGCCAGTGATCCCCTTTCAGGCCAAACAGATTTCTAGCGGCTATCGGATCAAGAGTTTCGTTCACGAAGTTGTTATGATCACAGAAGTTGTCGAACTGCTTGATGGCAATCGTGGCAATCAGATCTGGATCACGGATGACGTAGACTGGAGTCATAAAATCGTAGAGGCCGAAGTATTTTGCATTCGAGAAAAGATTGTATAGCTTTTGTATATGCTCCATATGGGCTATACGTTGAAAAAAGAAAGGTGCCATGTTGCCGAACAGTGGAATCGGTCGCACATGCGGGACCTTCCGTCGCTCGAAGTAAGTTAACTTGCTTAGAACAAAATAATATAAGCAAATACTCGCTGCCAGAATAGTCAGAAGCAAAGTAGATGGCTCCATTGCGAATCTCCAAATTAGTTATACGAGAAGAAAACTTTCCTGATTAAGTTCTAATTGTCTGGCAGTTTCGGATTGAAACGCTTTCCACGCTTAGTCGTTAATGTTAATGGCACCAGAAGAAGAAGCACAAATTACATTATCGTACTAGCTTCGTTAATTGTCGTTAGAACTTCTGTCTAATCGGAAACGGTTAACTCGATAGATCTGGCGATGTAAGATGCACGCACCACGCGTGAGATTTTATGACTGGCTACTGCACGTATGCCACGATGAAATTATATAACGTTGAGTGAGTGCGCAGATATATGAATGTCATAAAGTCACTTGACTTTGACTATCTTCTTGAAATGATGGTGCACTTTTTCGCAAACATATTCTTATCAATATACGAAGCTCGTTTTTTCAAATAAGCTGGGTTAGAGGTCAATTGGCTTTCTATTTTATCAATATCATTGCCCAACAAACTTCTAATAAGACAATAGAGAGAATACGATATGTTCTACTAATAATTTATAATTGTTATTGCCTATTTTTACTTGATTCAATATATAAATAATAAAAGCACAATATTCTTTATCATATTATGTTTTGTATCTTTTTCAATTTATCGTAACTGATAAATGAAAAAACACTAATCCAACAAGTATAAATAACATTTAATAATTGTTATTTTTATCACAAATTATAAATTTACTTCTTAGTTTTGACTACACGTATTCTTATAATGATAATGTCACAAAATTTTAAAAGTAATATATCTAGAAATAAAGCCAAAATACATTAATTCTTTTAACAATGTGACATATAATATAAACATGCAGTCTTCTTTTCTAGTTATAAAAGTCTACAATTTTTATCAATTTTTATAGATTTATTATTTACTCTTTAATATACAAATTACTAAGCATAATTATAAATATTTCTTATTTATTATTTCAGAGCTCATCTGTTCATGGAAATTGTTTTGTCAGGCTTTTCTTTATCGCGCGCTTTATCGCTTTGTAATATACAGAAAAAAGATAGATCACTCTAAAAAAACACGCTTTAATAAATCAGATTTGAATTAAAAATAAGGACGTTGAGTGCAAAAATTCTTCTAAGTAAAAATTTGAGGACGATGATACTATTATTGACTTACTACGTCTTTCATGAATTCACTTTTATTGGCGTGTTAAAACTTGTTCTCTTGAGTAAGTGAGTTGCGAGAATTAAGTGAATTGAAGGTTAATCGATGATGTATGGATTTTTTATTTACGATGTATAAGGCGTCAACAATAAACCATAATAGAATGAAATAGCAGATAATTTTTTTTATAAAAATAGAAAAAAGTGTAAAATAATTTTTGATTAATCAATTGCGTAATTTTTGAGAAAAATTCGAATTCTTAGATATCTATATATTTTATATAGATATCTTTAAATATATTTACATAATTATGTATTTATTCATTGAAAAAAATTAATAGAGATAAAAAGATTCATGAAATAAATATTTATAGAATTATTTTGATTACAAATCGGAGTGAGTTTCGAGTTCTATAGGATATTATATAATTGGAATATATGGCTAAAATTCTAATAAAATTGACATGGTAGTTTTCCACAACGAACGTTTGATACATCGATATAATGTAATAAAATTTTAACTTTTGTATTTGCTGATATAAAATTTCAAGCTATGAATGAGAATAATTTCAATGTTATCGAAGCTTTTGAGAATTATTCAATAGTTATTCTGACAAGAAAATTGATGAAGATTGAAGGTGAATGGAAGTTCGCAATTAAGGACACAGCATTCTATCAACTGAATGTGATAATGATGAAAATGATGATTTGAAAAATGGATAGACACACTTTATATGTGTACTACTATGATTGGCACCCCAAGGATTCCTCTAAATAATCCGGTTAACACTTTGTACGAATGCGGGATATCAATAAATTGTTGGATCTTTTCACTTATATTAACTGAATGAATGGCCTATTCTTCTTATACATATATCAATTCTGTCAAATATATATTTTCTTGTAAATAATATTATTTATTATCATTGTCTATTTATTAAGTATATAATAAAACATTTCAAAATACATAAATAAAGTTGTCGAAATTGTTCATGTTATTTTAATTTAAATTAAAATCGACTTAAACCAAACTATTATAAAAATCAAGTTTACGGATTAATTGTGGAATACATAGTCGCACAATATATTACAGTCGTTTTTTTTTTTAAATAAATATTCTATGAAATATTCTAATAAATATTCTATGAAATATTCGCAATAAATTCTTTACAGTTTTTTGAAAATAATTAAATCGCGTCAAATTAATGTTCCAACGATAGCTGTGTTTCAAGCCCGACAAATAATCGGCGCGCAGTTTTTACATTACTTCTGTAACTATTAATTTCTTTACTTGCGTACCACGTACCGTGCCTGACTCGTATCGCCGTTTATTAATTTGTTGATATTCTATGAAGATTTTGTATTTTATGAGCCAAAGTAAAATAATTTTATCATAATATATGTTTTGATGAGTTATATATTGAGTTGAAGTAAAAATCATCAGTGGTTTATTATAAATTAATTGGATAAACGTGAAAAAAAATATCCCTTCTTTACTGCGTAACTTACAAGAGAATGCATGTTTATGAAGCACGTTTTAAAAGGCGCACTAGGTGCGTTTTATGCAAAAATTCTACATGCATGTAGTTTAGTCACTATGTATCGGTGAATGCATTACGCTGCACTTTCTGCATTGCTCGTTCATGTTTATTTCAGTTACTATCTCACATCTTATGGAGCTTGCGTCTGTGTATAATTCAAAGCATAGTATATGTTTATATAAAATTGTACTCCATATAAATATTGTTAGGATTTTAATGTAAAACAAAATGTGAATTTGTATGTGTAATGTAGTGCAAGAAACTTAATTTAATTATTCGTTTCAGATAAGTATAAAATCCTAAACTTCTGTAACATTTTTGGACAAAATAGACTAGAGTCGGAGATTATATGGTGTTTTATTGAAAAGCTGATATAATTTCAAAATTTTTCTTTTAACGCTATTTATGTAAAAAAATATAAAAAGTTGTCTTTATCCTAATTTTGCACAATCTGCAATTTTTTACAGTATTATTAATACATATGTGTTCTTTTATGAAAAGATTGCTGTTAACAAAACATTCACATTTTTTTTACGTCAAATATTAATTGGAAGTACTTTATTACTTTTAGGAACATGTAAAACAGGTAGTATTAGATTTAAACATGTAATATAAATACATATTAACATTGCTCATGAGCAAAATATATTAACAAATACTAAGTGTATATTTGTCACAATGTATTGTATAATTATATCATGACTGGCATATCTGAAGAAGATGATGTATTGAAAAGAATGAAAAGACATTATCATTCATATTCAAATGTTTGTGACAACTGATAACTAAGTGTATATCCGTGAGTACATTTATTAGAATTTGCATACGTTATTAGAATTTTCTGTAAACATCTCACATAACTCTTTATAAGCCTCTATAAGTTGAAAAATCTATAATGCAAATTCCATATAAAATTTATATTTTTTGATTAAATTATATTTTATTTGCATTAAATTGAAATTATATTAACTCGAATAAGATACAAGCCGTTTTCGGTTTAAGCTTAGATCTTAGGCAGCTCAATATTAATTTTTCGTACTTATGTATTATTTATTATAATACATATACATATATATATTCCAACTTATTACTGCGCGCCGATCAGAGTCGGAGTTGAAACACAGCTATCATTGGAACATTAAAAACCCTTCCCTCCCCGGAATTAAATCGACGCAATTTAATTATCTAAACTGTAAAGAATTTATTGCGAAAAATATTACCTCAGCCAGGATTCGAATCTGGAACTTTCCTCATTCCGTGAAGGGTGTCGTACCAATTCGACCACTGAGGGATGTGGTAAAATATTTATCGCAATAACCGGTTAATAATAGTTTGAAATGTTTTTTTCAGGCGACGTGAAATAAATAATAAGAGAAAACGAGACAAATCTACGACACCCTTCACGGAATGAGGGAAGTTCCAGGTTTGAATCCTGGCTGAGGTAATATTTTTCGCAATAAATTCTTTGCAGTTTTTAGAATCGCGTCGATTTAATTCCGGGGAGGGAAGGGTTTTTAATGTTCCAACGATAGCTGTGTTTCAAGTCCGACTGTAATTGGCGCGCAGTAAAAAGTTGGAATATACATATGTATATGTATCAATACATATATACGGAAAATTAATATTGAGCTGCCTAAGATCTAAGCTTAGACCGAAAACGGCTTGTATCTTATTCGATTGTGTATCATATAGCGGTCTTGTTTTCTCTTATTATGAAATTATATTTTTACGCTATAACAAATTTGCAACATACAAGTAAGGTTTATACATATACGAAATATATTAAATATATACAAAAATATTTGTATTAATTAATAATGCAATAAATAAAATTGAATATTTCATAGATGTGCTATTTTGTGACGCTTCAAGTTTATCACGCATGTCGCTGTTTCTGAAAATTATGCGACAAATTTTGTCTCAAACACAAAAACAATTCCAAAGTAATATCCTCGTGGCCAACGTTCATGCGTGAACGAATCAGCTGCGTAGCGAATAAAGCGAAGGTTGACAGGTTTTATAGATATCAGTGAAGTGAAGGCAGTACTTTACAAAAATTTCAGAGTGCCAATAGCAGCAATAACGGCGGCGGTGGAAATATAAACCTGGTTTCGCTCGTGGGCACGAATGGAACGCGAAGACCACCCTCCCAGCAATCATCGTTTCACTCGTCCAAGAACCATTCCCGGCATCAACCTACATCTGCTCCGCCGTCGACACCGCGGAACGTCTGTCAGATAACCGAAATAGAAGCTCCGTGTATACGTAAGTTAAGTCTATTGCGACATGAGATTCGAGCCTCTCTTACAAATCTCTCACATAGTATATCGTATAAGATAAGAATCGCGCGCTCTCGCGATAAGAAATTATAATCGTTGTCAATATTTTCTTTACGGAATTAAAAATGGATTCTTTCACAAAGCGGTTTTCTCCTGGAAACATTATCTTTTGCACGATTTTTATAACTGCGGTCTGGCATTATTAAAATCATAAACTGCGTGACTTAATAAAAGTTTCAAATGTTACACAATAATAAAAAATAGAAGGTTGTATCTCATAAAGCTTTTAAGTTTTCTATTTAAAATTAAAAAGACACATTTTCATCAAGCTATAAAATAAGCTTCTTATTCTTTTATGTCTCTGAGTAGATGCAAAAGCTACATAGAATCTGTTTTTCACTTCGCAGACGTTAGGTCATCTTGTCGGAATCTCGGATCGACCAGATTCAATCAGGAGAGCATCACTAAAATGCTCGTGCTTATTAGCACAGTCTTTATATTGCTTAATCTACCAAGGTGAGCATCTTCGTTATATTATATATATTTCCATTTTTTACGCTTTTCCTATTTGTTTTTCCACTTTGTGTTTCGGACTTCTAACTGTAAATTTCATGTGCTTGTGATATTTGCTAAATTGAATCTTCTTTTATAGCTTATAAACACATACAAATAATTATAAATTTATGTAATCGGATTAGATTACACATTGTTTCTTTAATACATGTTGTAGGTTTAATTGTCCTCCGCGCCGCGCGAAAATATTTTCAATATTATCATGGAAACATTATATATAGACTGTTGCATTACTCGAATAATTTACACTCGAGTAATATAGTTTATATGTTTAATGATAGGAATATATACATACATTTGAGCTTTTAGTTTAATTTATTTAAACAAATTTATATAATTTATAGTAGAATTTCATTGTGTCATTTATTATTTAATATTTACTATATCAAAGTAATAATGTGAGAAAATAAAGTTTTAGAGATGATGTTCTGCGTGTAAATATATTTATGCCTTTTTATAAAATTAAAATTTTTTTATCAAGTTTGAAGGAAAAGTGAATCTTGTCACAATATATACATATATATGTATATTCTTTCATAATAAGCAGTAAAAATCTACGATTTTTTTTTTCAAAGAAGATAAATTGTGAAATAGATGTAAATTGCAGTTTACAGTGGAAATGACATAGTTAATATTTCTTGGTGAAATCGAATTTGCACGGAAATTGCATTATACAAGTCGAGTTCTCGCTCTGTTTCAGCTACGTGATTCGTCTATGTGTGTTCTTCTTCGCCTTGGCAAAGAAGAATACACCGGAGACACTCTGGTGTCTTCAGCAGTTCTTCATGCTGCTCTATTATACAAACTTCAGCATCAATTTCCTCCTATACGCAATGTGCGGAATCACGTTCCGTCGATGTTTGGAGCAGATACTGCGCAGGATCCTAAAGAGTATGACTCGGTATCACTGCAGTCCACAAAGGTACATATGTATAGCTTGCATCTCGTTCTTTTTAAAGATCCGACAGAGATCAAATTAAATCGTTGGTTAATGGTGACCATGCATTAGGGAATCGGTAAGCCCGTGAAACATCAGCGCTTCTTGGCCGATGATTCTCCCCTATCGGTGTCTGGTTTCAACCGAGGTTTTAACCCAAATCGTCGAGGCTTTTGTGGGCGTAAATCCAAGGATAAATTCCAGATGATCCTGTTTGCCTGAATCGCCTCGAAAGAGCACACTATTTCGCCAGACCTGTTTTACGCATCTGTGACTTTAAGTTCGACGTCGACGACTATAGACGGCAGATTTAACAAAATATATATGTCAGAAAATAAGAAAACGTTGTTGTAAAACTTGGAACGATATAATACTGGACTGACGTAGAGGATTCACGAATCTTGCATGTAGTTGTATGATCTATCGGAGTATTGTTGTCGTTTTTTCGCCATGCCGATTGGTTCTCTCTCTGCGCTTACTTCATGTCATGGCATATTTTGACAGTTGTGTGGTTAATAGTACGGTTAATAGTGTAATAATAACAGTGAAATATTAAAGATAAATAGCGCGCGCGTAGCGCGCGTCTGTGATGTCTAGTAATGTAAATTCACAGTTTCTGTATGTGAATAACAGATTCGGTGAGATATAACGTTTACCAAAATTTATTTCCATTTATGTTTGTAACATAAAAGTTCAAAAATATAAGAAGATAGCAAAATTGCTTTGAAATATTTATAAATATAATATCAAGGTTTTAATTTTATTAGATTTAAAAAAATTTTTTTATAATTAATAAACACACTGCGATATGTAAAAAAAAAAAAAACAGATAAATTTGAGTCTCATTCTTGAATTTCATTATAATTGCATTTGCAGCCTCTGATTATCGCATCAGAAACGATCGATGTTCTGTTTTCACGTCATGTACTTTCTACTTGAAAGAAAAGAAGGATACATGTATATATATGTATATAGGGTAAGTCGAGAGAATTTAAGATGTCACAGTTAAGAAATATTATAGAAATATGAACAAGTTAATAGTCCAACCATTTCGAAATTTTTGCAAAATGATACTTAAGCTTTCATGTATAGCAGTGCTGAAAATAGCCACCTTAAAAGATATCATGTGTGAAAAGTGTTGTAATTTGATTATATGTTTATCCCTGCAAAACCCTATGCCTGGGTAAGATGCCTGTAATGGAGGAAGATGCAAGTACTGTGACAGACATGTAGCACTCAATAAATGATGTGTAATACATTTACAAAAACATAGATTTTTTTTTAACACTGAACTGTTTAACCATTAACAATTAGTAAACACAATTTCAGAAAAATTTTTGTTTTAGACATTCATTTATCGAATATATTGTAACATTCACGATATTTAAAATCTAATATAAAAATACAAAAATTATACGTCAGTATTTGTGTATAAATAAGCTTGCATGTATTATATGAACAATCTCACGTCAACGATTAGAAAATATTACTATCTAGGGGAAATGAAAGAAATATTAACAATGTGGCATCTTCGACCTACTGGCATCTTTACTCTGACTTACCCTATATATACATATATGTTCCATATATGTATAAATATATATATATATATATATATATATATATATATAGAGAGAGAGAGAGAAAGAGAGAGAGAGAGAGAATGAAATATTCATATATTCATGAAACCAGTTCTACGTGAATATATGAATTATTAATATATTATAATAAGAGAATTATCACTGATAATCAAGGAATATGGCAATTATTTTCAAATTATGGGACCTAATTTAAAGATAATCGTAGAATTCATCATTAAAATTTTTTATCTTTTCAAGAAGTAAAAAAAATAATATAGGATAATTTATTTTTGCAATACAGGTAGTGAATAAATGTTCAAGTATTAGTACATTTCTTCACTGAATTAAATTGATTTTGTTATTTTTTAATACAATCCTATATAATTATATCTGCCTACTGGAAATTTCTAAGTGGTAATCGAAGTAAATAAAAGAGTAAAAGATGATTTTGGAAGTTTTCTATTTAGTCTCATTTAAAATGACAAACTAAAATTTCAGTGACGACAAAGTAATATTTAATTTTTGTTTAATACAGACATTAACAGAAAGCCAGCATTTATTTTAGACAAATTATAAATTAAAAGTTTGAAAATCAATGCTTTCCGAAAGTGCTACTTTAAAAAGTAGTACTCTAATAAACTGGGGAGGATTTTGATATTTTTTCGAATGTTTTATAAAAAAAATCTATACGATGAAATTTAACACATTAAATTAATTTACTATAAGAATAATTAAGTAATTAAAGAGAAACAAAAAAAAATATCAAAAACGCTGCCAGAAACACTGATACTTTTTGCCAAGAGAAAAACCATCGAACATAAGTTGCGCATGTGTATTGGTATGTAACTCAGACGTAAAAGAAATCGAGTTATCACGTCTCTTTCACATAGATTTTATTTTTTTGCGCAATTAGGACAGAGATCGATTGACTAGAAGCTCGTCTGGGGAAATCACTGGGAAAAAAATTTTCGGTATTTCACCCGTAACGTATAGAAGAGGATATTCTTTTGGGACCATGCAATTCCACTTAAAATGCTGGATAAACCAGTTTTCCGTGAGTTTTCTTTTACGGATTTGTGCCTAATGCAATATTAACGAACAGAGTACTATTAAGCCAGAAATCTGCTTTGCACATAACATATATTTATTACATGTAAAATATAAAACTATTTGCTTTACGTATAATAAAATCTATTTGTTTATATCAAATAATCTGTACTTGTTATCAATATACGACTGTTAATAATAATCCGTTCTTAAGTATTTTTATAAACTTCCTAAAAAATTTATATGACAATCGTTTATATAAGGTAGTTTCGTTACTTTTTATCACGTGTGTGAAGAGAAATATTAAAATATTTTAATACTTTTGATTTCTCAGTTTTTCTTCACACATACACACACACATTTATAGAAAAGCAAAGGGAGCATATCAAAGAAAGATACATGTTTAATGATTCTTGAATAGACGGATACTGATAAAAAGTATTATAATCGCTTATTTAAATTAATACATATACAAAATTTCATTTTCTTAATAACACATTTTTTATTGCTATACAGTCGAGTGAAAGCCTTGTCATGGAAACTTGCTATTATAATACTTTTCAATGGTTGCGCCGATACACGTGTCTGGCAAATACTTTATGCGTTCTTTTTACGCACATAAAGGCGTACACGTGTCGTTTCTTGAAAAATGTAACAGAATGGTATGGATAATATGCAGATTTCTTTCACATTATTTATAAACTAAAGTCACAAATATATGTAGTTATGAAATACTATACAAATTAATTAATTCGATTGTTCAACTCCGTTAAAAATCTGTTTTATACATCAAATATTTTATGCATTTTTTTAATAAATAAATTATATAGTATAATTTATATATTATACATATCACGAAACTGCTAATCAATTTTATTATCTCTTGTGATATTTGAAAACATTTTTTATAATTTGATAATTATTTACGTTTATGACGTATATTGCGTTAGACTGCAAAAATCTATTGAAAGACATTCTAAAAGTCAATGTGGATAAATCAATTGTAACATTACATCATCGCCGTCAAGAAAATGACTTTAAAAGTCACTAAATATCAAACCACAGACCAGCAAATGCCACAGTCTAATGTATATTAATATTCTGTATATCATTAAATGATTATATATCGAATAATTTATAACGGGATATGTAACGTGTAAATATAAACAAATATTCTATAAATTTCTGTATCGTTTTTATAAAAATATATCGACCGTGCTCCTGCTTCATATTTGTTACTTATAGAGCGTATGTATTTTAAAAATAAGAATAGAATTTAATTAAGATAATATAGAGTGAAAAATCCATTAAGTACAATATATATATATATCTATGTATACACACGATATATGGTAAACGTGTTCTGCATTCCTGTATATAGCATACTGTATAAGTTTTGAAGAAAAAAATACTTATTAAAACATACATGTATATATGTATGTATTTGTATGTGTGTTGCGTGTGTATGTAATTTTAAAGAGTACCAACTAAAGTTGATAAGTGGAATCTCATTAATTCCTATGCATTTTATTATTATATGTGATTATGTCAGCGAAAATAATTATATTATCCGTTTAAGTATACTGTTTTGTTTACTTAACTTTATTAAAAAGTTGAAGCGCTGTAAATAATAATTATTCCTGTATAGTAAATGTTTAAGTATACCATCTTTAAGTATTTATACCTTGGATTTATAATCGACATACTTATCTATTGAAATCTTTTTGAATTAGCTTTGTGATTCTAAACTTACTTACACATGGTTTCTTTATGTTAATCTAAACAAATATGGCAAATTTAAGTGAGTGTTGGATCAACTATTTAACATTTACGTATATATATATAATAAATATTTTATACTATATATTATATATTTATGTGTATATTATTCTTTTAATGATATGTTATTTATTTATATGTTATGTAAATAAATTAATGTTGTCTTTCGAAAAGACTTGAAGGTAATAGTAATTATTATTCGTACTTCCTACTTTAGATATTCAAAATTAATCTCACCGCATTTTCTTTTCGAAGATAAGTTGTTCGTATATATAGGTAATTTCTTTTCTATCCTCTTTAAGAGAATATAGTTTATCTTTTTATAATAAGTATTTTATTTCTTTATTCAGTAAAAGAATGTATGTAGAGCTCTTTTCAAATCGAGCTTATATTTTAAGTATATTGTACATTCTGAGGTAATACGTATATGCAAGGAATATGTGATATTGGCAAACATATTAATCTACCTACAAGAGGTACTGCGGCATGCCGTACATTGCAACGGTTACCACTAATAACATTATTTGGAATTTTGCGTTATAAATGCATAATGTCTGCATAATGTAATCGAATTCTTTATGATTAAAAGATATTAAATAGTAATAAGGATTATCGCGCGTTTCTACATTTAACATAATTTATATAATATATATAATAATCTAGAAAATTGTTCTCGTTTATTATGTAAAACAAAACAAATCAAATTCGCGATTTTAATTTTTAATTAAAATTCTAAAAAAATTTTTAATTTTGAAATAATAAATAAACAGTATAATTTAAAGTATCTAATGCAAATTGGCATTGTAGAGAATTATATTACTTGTAATATAATTTATGAGAATTTATAGCTCATTAATTTTATTACATGCAAGGAATAATTAGTTAAAAATTTTATATTAATTAAAATGTTCCAAAAAAGCATTACATGAATCTTTTTAATTCTGTCGTAATATTTTATAAAAAAAATTATTTGTTTTTCAGTTAAAATATAATTACGTGCAAATATCTCATATACATATATAAAAATAATAAAATATTTCTTTTTAAATGTACTGTGCATTAATAAATATCTTTCTTTTCTTATTATATTATTAATTTATTATTAAAAAATTATTATGTTACTTTTATTGTTATTATATAAAATATAGGTATGCAAAATTAAAATTATATTTAAAAATGCCCGAACGGTGGGCTTTAGAATTGTCCCGTTATCTTAAGGTTTTATAGAAATTTAGTTATCTATTATTCGAATACCTTTCTATCTTTTTTCCATTTTGAATAATCTAAAGAGTTTAAATTTTAGATTAAATTTAAAGATTTAGATTAAAATTTTCAGATTTGTAATATTAAAATAAATTGTATGTACTCAAACTACAGTGAAAAAATCCTACTTTTTTAAACAATCCAAAAAACTTCAAGCCACTCATAAATTTTCAAAAAAATTTTTTAAAATAGTGCATTATTTAACCTGATTGGATTTACAGATTGCTCGTCTGATATATTATAACTTGAAATAAATTATTCTTGGAACGTATAGGCGTATCGTATGAGTCGATCTGAATACTAACAAGTTCAGTTAAAAAATTCGAAGAAAGCTTTTCATCTTGATACATGTAAAAGCAAAAAAATGTCTATTGCATAAATTGCTCATCACTCACCGTAGTCTTTCCCGACGCGGTTGGACCCACAAGCATCAATCCGTTATGCATCAAAGTAATTTCGTACAGCTGCACTACCTTTCTCACGAAGTCTGTAATTAGAGTTACAACTCAATAGATTCTATGAGGCATGCTCGGACGAGTTGCGAAAGCTGCATGCTGAATACCGGTATCGATCCAATCCACGTCCTCACATTTAGCGTGCGCATTCAAATTGGATGCTTTAGTGCAAAGACACGTTTCGCAGATTGCGTTTATTTTCATAATTTCCATAATTTCACAAAGTATAGATATTAGCACGAACACGCTCTCTCTTGCGCGATAAGAAGATGTATCGAATGTTTAATATTGTGTATATGTATGTGTGTGTGTGTGTGTGTGTGTGTCACAAGAAATCATTAAAAGTATATTCTTACTTTGTAATAAAAATTTATTACTCTTTCTTTTTCCTCTATATGCACATTTTTAAGTTAACAGTTCAAAGAATAATTTAATTCAATATTAAAAATATGTATACATTAATCTAAAATTTATGATTTAGTTATACCTATATATAAGGTAAACTCGGGTAAGAAGATTCATAGAGGAAAGATGGTCAATCCATGTTCTATCAATTTAACTCATCATCTAGTACCAAATAAACATGGATTGGTCATCTTTCCTCTATAGCTATATCTTACCCGAGTTTACTCTATACATATATAACTATTGCTATTCGATAAATATACAATTTAGCCATGAAGAATAAATATAATTTATAGATAATTTTATAAAACTTTGATAAACAATTTTATTTATTTAATGTGTGTGATGCAAAGTAAGACTAAGTTATTTATATTACAAAATTAATATGATATAAACATAACATATTTTATTTTTTTTATATCGTGTATATTATACACTAATAAAATTAATATCTATTTGCGAGTGACATAAATAGATAATAAAAATAATTAAAAACGTTTTGTATAAAATTTTCAATATTAATTACGTAATGTTATAATTGGCAAATGTTGTTTTAATTTATATTATTTCGCAACGAGAGACAAAGAAAGAAAGAAAGATATATATATATATTTTTGTTGTAGTTAAATTTTTGGCTCATTTGAATCTCTAATTAGTTTCTGTTACTTATTATGTTCATTTAATTGTTTGTGTGCGTGCGTGCGCATAATTACAATATAACTGTCACATACATATCAGAAAATATTTTCTGTATAAATATTTAATACATTTTACATAACTTTACATTTAATAAAATTATATATATATTAAAATGTTTTTATTTTGCATATAATTAAAAATATATATATGAATAAAAGAACAAGAATAAATATTATTATCATGCGCTTATTGAAATATGTCGGTATTTTAATTAAACTTTTTTAGCGAATGTATAAAAAGAAGACAAATAATTCTTTAACCGCAAAAGAGAGAACGGCTGTTGTAGCTTAACAAGCAATTTGTCACATTTTTTTAAGCGCAAGCTAAACGAGAGCAACAAAAATTTAGTTTTTTTACGCAAACGCATGATAAATGCAGATTATAAGTAAAAAACTCACCATCGACGTCTTCTAAACCCATTTGCTTAATAGATCTATGAATGGTTGCTTCTAAGATCCCATAATCCACTGGTTTTTCAATGAGTCCTGGGAAGAGGTCTGATATAATGCCTAGCAAAAGAGACAACAATAATGAGCAAATAAGTTTATTTTTTTTCACAACATCTCCATGGAAAGTCCGGCTTTCCATGCCTGTAGAGAGGGGCGAAAGTGGCCAATTTCACGCCACGGAGGAAAGTTGTTACTTTCCTCCCTAGGGAGGAAAATTAGTACTTTCTGCCCGTATAGCGGGCAGAAAGTAAAGTAACGGGCAAATCTTAGAACATATATAGGGAGCTTTCCAGCAAGTGACACAAGTCGACACAAGTGTCGTTTTGTCTTTGTTACTTATTGCCAAAAAAGAAAGATAAAACGACGTTTGTGTCGACTTGTGTCGCTTGCTGGAAAGCTCCCATAAATGGAAAAGGAGCATCGAGTCCCCAACATCGTGCGAGAGAGAAACATACAACGTACGCAAAAATTATAGATTATATTATAAGTATATTAATTTTAATAAATAAAAAAATAATTACTCGGGCTCGGGCGACAAACTTTACACTCGTCTGAAAAACGCTACTTTCGCCCCTTAGTGCACAATATACTAAAAATGTCTATAGAGGAAGATATCGATCATAAGAAAGAAGTTTGTTTATTTAGCAATTTAATCAAATGGCAACATTAATAAATTGTAATATGTATGTATGTATATACACATGCGCGTGTACTTGAAAAAAAGAGAACTATTTAATTTGAAAACACATATTTTTAATTAAAAAATTATTTGTGTATTATTTAAAATTCTGAAAATTAAAATTAACTTACCATTAAACAATTTCAAATCGTCCTTCAACAATTTGGGAACATTTACGTTTTTCAAGACACGCAGGCAAATTTGATCCTCTGCAAGATCTTTTTGCTCTCTTTTCAAATTGCCAGCAGCCGCAATAACAGTCTTTACTGCACGCATACCAAAGTCGTAATGATCCTGTAATATTATATTTTAGGCACAATTAATTAAAATCGCTTAGTTAGTTAATTCTAGACCATAATTAGTATTTCTTAATGATATTAAATTTAATTTTAAATGTGGAGATATTTTTTGCGACAAACTAACTACATCATCTATAAATATAAATGTTTTAACAAATGTTTTGTATGTATGTTCAGCACAGTTCTATGAAATAGATATAGTATAGTATTCGTATTATTGGAAAGTATATAGAAATTTTAGAATTTTAAATAATAGGTACATAAATAATTTTTTTAATGAAAAAAATATTTTTTTCTATTATTCTTTCCTGAAAAAAAATAAAAGAAGAAAAAAAGGAAAAATAAGAATACTTGTGTGTTTAGTTGCTCCGAGCTCAGCTTAAAAGTTGTCGTAATTTTTCTGGCAAGGTTTCCGGCATCCACAAAGCCATACGAGAACAAAGATATTTCAGCAATAAGAGCATAATTTGGCACCGTCATAGCCACTGGCCGAAAAAGTGCTTTCAAATTGTCAGGTAATTCCGTTCGACCAGCATAACCAGGATTCATAGTGATGAATACAGCACAGGACTGCTTTAACGTAAGTTCGACTTCTTCAAAAAGAAATCTACAAGTTCACGCAAATTTTACACGTAAAATTAATTAGAGAAATTATGGCTGAAATAAACGTGACACAGTTATAAACCTCTCAAAATTAATATTTAATATTATATTTAAGAATTTATTTTTTAAGAAAAAATTTTTAAGTTAATAAATTATTTGTCTTATTTTTGTATCAAATGGTTCTGTAATTAAATAATATTTAAACTGCTTTTGGTAAATGTCCGTTAAAATTACATGAGAGTTTAATGTTTTTCTAAAATAAGAAGCTATTGTTAAAGCCACATTCTACTATCAATTCCTAAATTATTCAAAATCATCGAGCTTTCATTTCGGTTTACTTACTTGTTTGCTCGTAATTGTTGTGCTCTTTGAATGGTCATGATTTGCTGTGCTACGACGGATAAAACCTCAATATTGATTCGATTAAGTTCGTCGAAACACGTCCACGCACCGGTGCTGTGCAATATCGCAAAGTGTTGAATTTAATTAAGAGATTACTACGAAATTAATTGATTTAAGATCTTAATGTAATTTGCGTTATAGCTAATTGATATGAAATTGCTCATAGCTTACCTGGCGAGTCCTTTGAAAAACTTGCCCATAGATCGAAAATTCAGTTGTTCGGAACAATTAAAAACCACGCACTGAACCGCGAATGCTTTCGCGAGATCTTTAGTGGTTTCCGTCTTCCCGCTGCCTGTCGGACCAGATGATGCACCGCCGAGTTTCAGATGCAATGCAGTGATAAGAGTGAGGTAGCAACGATCAGTCAATGGTGTAATTACCAATCTTCCATTATTACCTAAATATTCATATCTACGAAAGATATAAAAAATATAATACAACAATGTGGGGTTTATCAGAGATACATTTTTATTGAAGGCAAAATTATAACTTAAAGTCAATAAGTAACTGTAAGTGACATGGAAAGATTAATTGATTAGGAAATAAATTATAAATAGAATTATAAATTGATTAATACATCTTATTTGTAAGAGCTATATAGCTGCAGCAAAGATATAAAGGGAGACTTCTGTGAAAGGGTTACAGGCACCTGCTACAACATTAATTACGTTCTTGCGTCTTTTAATTAAATATATTTTAAACAGTAAAAATATATTTAAATTAATAAGTAACAAGGAAAAATGGGCTTTAAAAATTAAACGCGGTTAGTCATGCGTAAGTTAATACTGTGTAACATTTAATTAATAATTTAATACAAATTATAAATCGTATAACGTTTCGGCTCTACTTTGAGTCATCTAAGCCGAAATGTATAATTTATAATTTGTATTAAATTATTAATTAAATGTTACATAGCATTAACTCACGCACAACTAACCGCGTTTGGCTCTCAAAGCTTATTTTTCCTTGTTACTTGTTAATTTTGATATCAAGGGTCTTTAGTTAATTAATCATTTATTTAAAAATATATATTTATAAATATATTTGATAAATATTGATAAAACTTGTTGATCTTGAAAAATCAAAATACGTTATAAGAAAAAAAAAGATTAAATTTGCAACTTAAGTAGAATTCGAAAATGTGCAAGATGTATTGGTTCATATTAGAAATCAATAATTATTCAAGGCGACTGTATTGTAAATATACAAGTTCTTGCATGATTTTAAAGTGATAAATAGGTGTAAAAAGGAACTATACGATTGAATTTGTTTGCAATATTTCTGTCGAGAAAGATTTTAACTTTAGCAATACCCTTGTTTTTTTTATATAATATAAAATTTAAAAACAAAAAATGCTCAATACATATTTTGTACAGCTAATATTTAATATAAGTAATAGCTTTAAGGCGGAATTTCTTATCTAGTAACATGCACGACATTATTTTCTAGAAAGCTTCTAAGAGAGCTTGCTGCAGTACTCCTTTTATACCCGAAATAAGCTTCAAAGTGATCCTAAAATTGAATTTAGGAGTGCAATTAGAGTGTCATCAGCTTCATAGAATCAACGAGTAGCTGTTAAACTGTAGAACAAGTTTTAACTGCTTAATATAAAAGAGGTAAACAATTTCGGACAAGCGTATAAGTTTTAATATGCTTAAAAACTTTATTATTTTATTAGCTACTTTAGTGTAATAATTCAGTGCATTGCATACTGTTATAAAACTATAAAATTCCCACAGTAAGAAAGTTGACAAATTTAATAAACTTAAATTATTTCTTTTAAAAACTCCTATTCCATTGAATTCTTTAATTACATATTTAACTTTTTATATTAAATACAGTTACGAACAAAATTTATTAACAGTTTGTATCTTTTTTTTAAATAATTTTGGCAACAATTTATCGAATACATGGTAGACTTACTCGTATGAAAATTCAGCGTTTATCGCACGAATTTTCAAATCCTTGTTATCAACCCAATAATATCGTAATTGAGAAATCCATTCAAAATCATTGACATTGGTTACTTTCTCTTGGATCAATTTATATAAAACATCTTTGGCGTGAACTTCAATTGTGATTACAGCCTCCAGCATCAATCTCTGTACCTCAGTTTGCGAACCGCATATTAATTTTTGCAATTCTTCGAGCTATAAAATATTACTCAAGCGTGTACTGATTGTTTGCAATTTATTTTTTACTTGTTAGAAGAATCAATAATGTAAAACTTTCTTTGATGTATACAATAAAATATAAACGAACATATATACGCGCGCAGTACCTCTTCATTTTTCAAGAGAATTTTTCGATTTAACGCTCATTAAAATTATGCACAATATGATATGCAGCGTAAAATTTCAAAGAAGCGAGTTGACCCTTTAAATAATTGTTGAACATTTTATCGCATAAGAAAATGTCACTACATCAGAAAGGTCGTGTAAGTCGAGAGATGCATTTGCTTAACAAACTTTACCATATAAAAGAACGAGCGAGGAAGAAAAAACAAGGAAAAAAGAAGAAAAAAAAAACTCTTTTACGCTCTGGACTTTGAAGTACTTTAATGCTAATGGGTTTTAATGTTTACGAGATTCTAAAGTAGAAACGAAATAATCAGATATTTATCCCATACAAATGAAAATATTACGTGGTTAACCGCAAACAGATATCTCAAGCCCTCTTTATCTAATTAGATATTAATGTAATATTAGCACATAATACGTACCTGCAACAACATCAAATTATAATAGTCGAGCAGAGTATCGTTCGTGATACTTTTCTCCACGTGGGCAGTCCAATGTGTTTGACCTCCGCAAAGAACTACCTGGCCTGGCCACATGTACACCCATTCCTTGCGCGGTATCGTTTCTATTATTTCGAGAGCCTCGCCGATAATCTCTCGCAGAGTATTGCGCATCGCATCTTCGACTTGTCCCAACCAATTCTCCACATTTCCCTCAGGATAGATCGTCGGCCGTAGTACGACCTCCTCGTACTCGGCAGAATACATTCTCGTTATCCTAAGATTTGGATTCTCAAATCTCAATTCTCTTATGTTCTCGAAACACTTCTTCAAATGCGGTTGTATCGCTTCGACGTTCTTGGATTGAACAATTATCTCCAGAAGTTCATCGTCGCTCAGGAAAAAGAAACGCGGAAAGATCATTCGTTTGGTCTCCAGATAATCAGATAAACCTTTCACAACAGTTTCTAGGAGCAATAAACATTCCTTCAAGTTTAGAAACAGGTTCTTATCCGCGCATGTTATAATTACCTGCGTTATGTACGACAAAGTTTCTATAAAATCAACATTTCTATATTTAATATTTATTATATCCATATATATATATATACATATATCTATTATAAGTATCTGTTCTCTCTCCCTCTCTCTCTCTCTTTCTCTCTATCTCTCTCTGATATTTAAGTTTCACGTATAAAATGTTTCAAACAACAAATGTATTGCATTAAGAAGTAACTAACAAATTGTTGGCCAACGCAATTACATTTTTAAAATATATGATTATTTTCGAAAGATGAATATAGCCAATAGACAACATATAAGCACACGTTTTAATAAATTAAAATTAACAATATATAATATATTAAAAATATTAATTCAGTATTTTGATTTAATCAATATTTTTTAGATGTAAGATAAATCAATGTCTTAGAATTTTTGATGCTTCAACATATTGGCGAAATGGAAAAATGTACACAAAACGTGAAAATAAATTTGCATAATGTGTTACATACGTATGGACAATCGCGAGCGTTTTTTGTAATTCGCTGCAAGTTGCGCTCTATTGTATTGAATTTACGTGATTCCACCGGCAACTGCCGATTAACATCTTCAGAAGCGAATATTGGTTCCAAATACATCCATTGCCTGTGTATACAATTTTAATATACGTATACAATATATTCTAATGCAATAGCGAACAGAACTCGAGATATAATATTGTTACTTTTGCACTTTCATCCACTGCGCAATCACTTCCTGAATTAATCTCAATTTAGCTTCCCATTCATCGATTTGACTCTCAAAAGCAGCTTTGAAAGGACTAAAACTAAGATGTTGAGTTTTAAGCATATCGTCGTCCAAGAGAGTAATGACCTCGTCAGAAACCTTTATAATATATTTATCTAAATAAAAAATTTAGAAATTATTGACTAATGTATTAAGTTACGTTTCTTAATATATTAATATTAATTTTAATATTTTAAATATAAAAACAATATTAAACCATTTAATGCTTATTAGTTTAATTAATCCTATTGTCGCGAAGCGACCAAGTTATTCTGAGATCCGGCTTATTCGTCGTAAACACCGCGGAAAGCCCTTCGAATCTCGACTTACCTACCGGAATTATCACGCGCGTAACAGTCAATCACTCAAGCAAGGCTGAGAGGCGCGCACGCAAAACTTCTCGGTACAATCTCAAAAAGCGAAGCTCGCTACGCCAAAGTTTCCTGTTAAGGAAGAACGACGCGAGTGATCGCTGCGTTATACCCTTTCGGGTAAAACAAAAACTTGGCTAAACTACGTTTATTTCGCCGCGGAAATTATTCCGCGCCTTGTGCCCTCGATCGTCTTTAAACCCAAGTAGTGCTGAGCTTGAATTCTGCTCGCCAGTGCGAATAGCTGTAGTGACGACTCAATAAAAAAACCGACTGCGATTCTAATCGGCAAGCTTTATTCCGACGCGCCTGCACTTCATCCCGTCAACCTATCTATCCGCTCGCAGAATCTCGACGTGGCCATTCGGCGCGTGGCCCGGCATTCAAGTTCGCCTGCTCGCGTTCACGCAAAGACGAACAAACACCTATCTTTATTAAAATGTCAGATAACAAAGATCTTAATGTTAAATTTTTATTTTCTAAAAAATAATTTTTTATCATTTATATCACATTAAGAGTTATATTTCTAATTTATATAAAAAAATACAACAGATGTGAAAGCTATTTGATATTTGAGTTTGTTTAAAATGTATTTAAAGGTCTATAAAATTAGGTAAATGTTTTATACATACCTGTATTTTTATAAGGAAAAACATCCATTGTGATTGTTTTCCAATCGGTCATCATTTTATCTAATGTACTTTCTATCAAAAATTCTTTTGCCGCAGTATCTGCGACGGCTTTTATAGTTTCCTCATGTTTTAATACATCGAGAACAAGTAAGCTCTTAAAATTCAAGGTTGGCGTGAGTGCCATAGGTATACCAGTTTCTTTAGTAAGTTTCTCAAAGTGTCGATTTTTCATTCCTGGATTTCGTAAAGCTTGTATTATGCCGACATAGGGCTTGAACGCATCGATTTGATCCCTTATAGTGAACGCTATAGCAGCCATCTCTATAATTCGTGAAAAAATACATCGACAATTTTCTGCATCGTCCGTTTTCTTTGTAACTTACATATAACATATTCAAAAGTCAATACATTCTAAGCGAAATATCAACCTACTTGGATTTTCTTGAAATACTTTTACGCAATGCGACATAGCATTGTGTATGTCGGTAGTCACACTTTCTATTTGACTCGCGTCGAGACTTATCAGAGGATTCTCTAACCATATTTCCTGCCATTTTAACCAATCTGCGTTTGAAAATATATAAAAATGCTATATATTTTATTTAATTTGTTATATTAAATTATTGAAATTGCTATAATTTTAAATTTAAAATTTTATAGTTTTTATTTGTTACCGGATGCAGTGATCCATAAGGTTTGATACGGCTCGAAATCTTTCATCAATTGATTTAATTGCTCAAATGGTATAACATCCATGCCGAATAATTTTTGTCGTTCGTTCAGCAATAAACCCGATTCTTGATAATCTTTCATTATTTTCCATATCCTCTTCACTTCTACAGCCATTTCGTGTACTTTGTTGATATCTGTTTGCAGTGTCACATTTGTAACGTTTCCTACGAGTGTGTCAATCCTTTCCGATAAAAGAATCTCTTCCTGCACTTGTACTTTATGAAATTTTTCATATTCACTGGCAAAGCGATTCGTTGCCTCTTCCATCTGTACACAGTAAGAAAGCAAGAAAGGAATTAAATCTTAAAAATTGATAAATGTAATAATTTAATTTAAAAAATATATTATTAAATTATTTAAAAAATACAGATATGATAAAATATCATACAGTTTTTAATTATTACATAACTGTAAATCAAATTAATTATTTACTGGCGCAAACATTCATTAAAAGTTTATCAGTTTTAAGAAAATCTTTTCTTATTATTAAGTTTAAATATAGTACTCTACAATAATATTCTGTGCTCTGATATACTCTAGTAATTTTAATAGTACATTTAATAATCTAATTTGTTACAGATACTTGTGTGAAAATGTTAACGTAATATTCTTTAAAAAACATTTTTTTTATTATTTAATTTATTTGATTTTATTTATCGATTACATATTAATGCATTTTTATGTAAAATAATTGAAAATTCTTACAGATAATTGCACTTGCCGAGGAAAACCAATAGCTTGCCATTTGGCTTCGAAGTCCTCATCGGATAGATTCCACCAGAAGTGATCAAGAATATCGTATTCATACTTTAGTTTTTGTACGATTTCATTCAGATTTTTCACCGTTAGTGGTATAATCTCCATCCAATCCCGCTCTTCGAACAAGTGCTCAATATTACGTAGCGTTACCCTTAGTCTTGTTCTGATCTGCATGTAATTAGACAGAACAGTATCGATTTTCGTTCTAAAGCTCTCGGTAAACATAATAAGTAACTGCGTGCAACAGTTCTGTCGTTTCTGTATAAGAAATTCCCTGAGAGGACGGACATTCACGTTAAAGGGTCCTATGACAATGTCTTTCGGTAGTGCGAGCTCGAGGATCGATTTCATCTTAAAGTGGAAGGATACTTCATCTCGAACTTCCGCGGCGGTGTGATCTGCTTTTTTAAAATCCCTGCAAAAAATGATGATCAAAAGTAATTGATATTTTTCCGCTTTGTTAATCAATTGCGTTCTCTTCTAATTTAGAAATCCAATTAAACAGTTTTCTGATATTGCCTGAAGCGATCTGAACTCACTCCACGTATTTCTCGACATCCAATTTGTAAATTTCTAAATATTGCTGATACTCGCTCGCGTATGCTTTTAGGGATATTATAGATTTCTGATAAGCGATTCTCAAGCGTTCTCGAACTTCGCAAACCTGATTTTCTAGTAAGCCGACCGAGCTAAGATAGAGATCTTTGGGAAATTTCAGGAAGGGTAACAAGAAAGGATGAACTTGTCTAATTAGATGACACTGGCTTAAAGAATTGTCTAATATGGCTATGATGATTTCCTGGAAATAAATTAACTTATTAAAACTTAGGCACACAATTTATTATAAAATTAATTTATCGAATTAACAGTAAAATTTAATTAATTTGGATGTGTGCATACTATATATTTTAAACGTTTCTTAATTGTTATGAAAAATCTATAAATGAATGATTTAGTTTATAAATTAACATAAAATAATATATGTATTATATCCATACCTCAAATGATTCAAGGTCCGTTAAATAATAAGCAGTTTCATCATTCATGGCAATATCAATATTAAAGATAGGATTCATTGGAGACTTAAAGTGTGTGTTTACAAGATCATCGCCCCATACAAAATTTTCATCCACATTTAATGTACAAAGAGCTGGAGTTTCCAGTATTTCTAAATAAAAGACAATCGATTTCTTTACGAGATCCCGAAGTGCATACTGTAACAATAAATAAAATAATCCATATAATAAATATCAAATGGTACTTAAAAGATGTTAAACTTTTATGGATTATAATGAGATTATACCATATATGTAGATGATATGAGATTCAATAATTTGTAGACAAATCATAGATATACATTATATTCAATATAATTTGTCAGTTAAATTATTTTTTAATAAAATTTATATTTATTTATAATTTGGTTTATAATTTCAAACATGAGCTTGAATTGATTTTTTCTATCTTACAATATCTAAATGTTTTTCTTTGCTTTCCTTAACATAGTCTGTAATACTTATTTTAAAAATCTTTTTCATTTCTTTTTATTAATCGTAACATTATTCGTAATTAGATCTATATTAACAACTTAAAATAAACATGGCAATTGCACTTAAGCGCATATTTTATTGTACATATTAGAGCTAAAACAATTGTATTAAATGCAATCAAATACTTTGCCTACCTGCATTCGATGTACAATAAGATCCATAAATCGCTTTAATTTCATTACATCATATATATCATGGTTCTTTTGCTCGAGATCAAACCATCCTTTGCCGACATCTCTTAAACACAGTCTGACCGACTGTGTAATCCTCTCCAACCACGTTTCTTTCAGATATTTTATCACTGTACCAGTCTCGTGTTGCTGTTGCGATTCGAACTCCGACAGGTGCATAGATTTTCCGTAATTCGAGACAAAGAGATTCATATTCGATATGTTGATGCATTCGACGACTACGCATCCCATAGCCTCGTATACTTCCGGCAAAACGTATAAAATTATCCGATAAAAAATATTTCTGGTCGCCTGCAAGAAATCGCGATTAAATGTATTCTCATAAAGTACACATCAATGCAAATATACGTATAATTCTGTGTAAATACCGCGAAGTCTTTCATTTCGGTGCATAACTTTCCCATTTCTGGTGTCTTAAGCTCGTGGATGTCATCAATTCCATTCCACATAATGAAATTAAACGTTTCCGGCTGTCTCCTTATGAGAGATCTCCACATAAGGTCGCACATAACGCGGCGATACTCCAAAATAATTTCGTCCATTAACTAAATATTAAAAATTAATTAGTAACTGAAAAAAATAAATATGATGTATACATACGTTCGAAAGATGTTTGGATTCACATTTTAAGAAACCTTCTCGCGTGACCGATAGGATTATAACTTTCTGTTGACTTTCATCCAGCGTCGGCATACCTTCTACTAGCATGCAATCCAAATAAAAGTGATACCTATAATTATGTGGTTTAATTATTGCGAAAAACATTCAAAGCATTTTTGTTAGAATTATTACAAAGATACAAAAGAATTAAAAGAGAATATAAAAAAATCTGAAATTTATTATTTATTCTCATGCATAATACGTTTTTCTTTATAGGTCTTGTAACAAAATGTGAGCTTTGAATACATATACTTATAAATTGATAAATTTATATTCTCTCTTTGCTATGTGAAATAGATACTTTAAGTGTACACGCATTAACAATATTTTACGTTACTACACTTTAATAAAATATTGAAATAAGATACTAATAACAGTTTTATTTTAATTATTACAACGTTTTAAACTATTACTAGAGGATAAAAGATATTTAAAAAAAAATGTAATAGTCCTTTTCTTGATGTCGATTTTTAAAGCAAAAACTAGTGGATGAAAAATACAATTATTATTTCTAGTTAGTCTTAGTTTATAAGCTTATTTTGCTTTCTATATGGAAACTCTCCTATAACTTTACCTCCACAAATTAATTTTTTTCGTCATATATAGTGCATAATAAAAAAATATTAAGATTACGAAGTATTTTGATCTAATAAATTAACCTAATACTAGTCTCCGCGATTTGTCTTTGTTTGATGGCAGCAGCTATCCTCTTGGCAAATTTTCTAGGATCTTCTCCAAAAAATAGAATGTATATCCTAGGCAAAAGAAATGTTCGCTTAAAACCGTCTAGAGTGAGAACAGTCCACACATTCCTTTCATTATCGTAATCCATAACGGCAGCGTGAAACCAACCAAACAAATCATTCAGTGTATTATCATCACGATCAAATAGCCATTTCTTATCTATAATCCTTTCGACAAATACTGTAGCCGGTAACGGATAACGAACACCATTGATGATGCCCAGATTTATCCATTCTTCTGCCGTTCTGTCAAATTGCAAAATAAAAAAAACTATATGTAGACTGTAGACAATTACAAAGACAGTATTTTATATTCAATTAACAAAAAATACTTTTGACTAATAATAACTATATAAATTGATTATAAATAATATATTGCTCATATAGACAGTACGTAGACATCGTAATCTTAAAACAAAATTTTAATTCTAATCTTTTAATAAATATAAGTTATCTATGATGTATAAAAGTTTCGTCAGCGCTCCTTTAAAGTAGAAGCTTTACTTGGCATGGTACTCAAGTTGCAACTTACTTTAATATGCAATATTTGCTGGAGTATATCAAATTTTTTTCTCTGGTATAAAACTATTATAAATTTATTACTAAAAACGTAGAAACGTATTGAATGTGAAATTATATTTAAACTACGATCTTCTCTTGTGCTTTTCTAGAACTACTGTAATATATTTCACATTGTATAATGCCACTATAATAGCGTGAGAAAATCTCTCTTATTTCTACATATATAAGTTATTACTTTCTACGTAGGTATTTTATAAATGAATATTTTGCTTTCAACCATTTTGTACGACAAAAAGATTTTTAAAATAATTATAATACAGATGTATGCAAATAAAAAATTAAAAACAATAATTAAAAAGCAATGCTTTTTTATCATTAAATAATCTATTTTGTAAGAAAGTATAGCATATATAAAAATAGTTTCTTTCACATATTTAATGTTTTACATTTCTTTCCAATTTTCTTGATATTATGAAAGTATCTATTTTTATATTCAATATGTCATATTCAACGTTTTTATGGTTACAGAATTTTTATCTTTTTTATATCTATATCTTTCTATTCTTGTTTTTGTTATTATATAGGTAATATATTACATTTTTATTAATTTATGGGTTTTTTTAATTATTTTTGAATCAATTTCTTAATTGTAATTAAAGTGGTATTACGTGAGACTCGAGCATAGTTATTGTAAAACAGTAAAAATCTCACCTACAATCGTATTCTTCATCGTCGAACAGTTCTAATGGCAAATAACTTGTCTTGGAATACAAATCATATTTCTCTCCATAGGAAAGTAGCGGGCAAATTTTCTCAAACGGCAACATGTCGTGTGACTTGACACCTTCTGCTTTTAAGATGTCTTCTATCTTGAGATTTTTGTATATTCTTCGTCTTCTTTCCATTTCAACGTTGCGCGGCGGAATGTTTGGGTCGACAGTATATGCCATTTGTACTTTTGGTAAAAAGGTTTCCGCCGGAAACGTCTGCATTCGTAAAGAAACAGAAGATTCGGAAAGTATTGAATATTAGATATAAGTTTCATTTAAAATTGAATTGCATGCTAAGAATTTATATGCATTTGTTCCATCAGGCTCTGATAATAAAATAAATCTTATTCAAATGGCGTAATTATGCTTTTGCATAATTATGTACTTGCGTACGATAGATTTATCTTCGGGGAAAGTCATCCATCGCTCAGCTGCGCCAAGGACAGCTTGCATTTTTTGTATTTTAATGCCTTTTACAATCGGGCTATGCCGTTCGGTGAGAATTTGCGATGCCAGGTTGGTTCTTCTCGGGGGAGTAGGTAAACCAATTGGTTTTGTGCCTGTGCGATTTGTCGATCGAATTATTTCATATGATTGATATATTTTAGAATCAAGGACGCTTTGATCTCAAATGTGATAACTATAGAAGTCTCACCTGTAATAGTATCTGAATAATAATTTCTTCTAGGGAATCGAGTATTTATATCCTTGACGTCTTTAAAATCCATTTTAAAATGCTTACAATATAAATGTGCGATCTATAATAAAGACGCTTATTATTTGACTTTTTAAATTCTAACCATTATTAACATGCATATACTCGTTCTCTATGAAGTTTGTTGTATATTTCGAGAAAAAAAAAAAAGAATTATTATATTGTGATTACGAAACAAAGCAAAAAATAGGCGATAAAGATTGGGGGCCTATTACATATCTTTTCACGAGATAAAAATACGAAAAGTGAATAGATTTACTAGATTTCGACCAATAAAATCGTAGATACTCTAGTGAATTCTCTCACTTTTCGTATTTTTACTTCGTGAAAAGATACGTAATTAGGCCCCCAGTTCGTCGGAGAATATTTAAAATGTAACGAATGGATTATATTTAGCTATTATTAGAACACTACAAGCGCGTACTATACACGCGCGCCATTTAGCTTTTTTTACTATCGTTACAACATTTACAACGCTATGCAATATCGCTATTTAATAATACCACATTTAATAACACCACATTAAAAAAATTTTAACGGTATAACATGACTTTCAAATAACTTTGTACAAAAAAATTTATATTTAAATTAATTTTGTGTTTCACGAAAAATAAATAAATTTTTAATAAATAATTAAAAACCTCAAAAAATAAAAGAAATTATACATATAACGAAATAGTATACGAAATTTTTATCATACCTATTAGCTCTTTGATTATCGAGGAAAATTCTTAACTTCTTCTCTTCTTTTTCAGAAGCAGATATAAGAGAAAAGATATATGTAAATTGGAGATTAAAACAGAAAGATAGGTCGAAGTAATATGCAATCCAATAATTAAAATACAGGAAAGTAGAACATGGATGGAGTGAATGGTTAAAGAAACAATATAAACCGAGTACACTTTTTTGCTAAATTATTTTATTTTAACTTCTCTCTCTCCCCTCCCCCCTATAATAACTTTACAGTTATTTAGATGTTTCATCAAAGATAAATCAAATCGATTTAATTAGGAGGAGGAAGAGGATTTTAATGTTCTAACAATAACTGTGTTTTAAGTAGAAATAGTATTAGGCTATTAAGATCTAAGCTCAGACCATAAATGGCAGTTTTTATTCTAATTTGATTATACAGAATGTTCCAGACCTGGCATGCCACCCATTAATAGTAGATTCCTGAGATTATTTTAAGACGAAAATTCTAATACCAAAATGTTGAAGCTATAATAGTCTTTAAATGAGAAGTGTTTAAAGTTGATCAACCAAATTGTTCGAAATTTGCGCGCTTAGTCATGTCACATTACATAGTAGTAAAGATGTTTTCAAGCGAATTTTTTATGTATGTATGTATACATATACATATGTATCAGTTTCAAAAATAGAATTGATGCGCTTGAAAACACCTTCACTGCTGTGCAAGGTGACATGACTGAGCGCGCGAATTTCGTACAATTTTATTGATCAACTTTAAACACTTCTCATTTAAAAACTATTATATAGCCTCGGCATTTTGGTATTAGGATTTTTGTCTCAAAATAAATCAGAATCAGAATCAGAATCAGGGCACGTATCATGGAACTTTTCGGAATGGATTCCGATCGGAATTATTCCGTTTTCCCTAGAAAAGACAATAGAAATCTTGTAAGAAATAAGTGAACCAGTCCAAAAAGTTTCATAATACGTGCCCAGAATCAGTATCAGTATCAGTATCAGTATCAGTACCAGGATCAGTATCAGTATCAGTATCAGTATCAGTATCAGTATCAGTATCAGAATCAGAATCAGAATCAGAATCAGAATCAGAATCACTATCGAATAATGTATTGACATAACAGTATGTATAGACGGACACATGCGGATATTTTTCCTTCCATTGGTTAACCAAATAATTGCTAATATTACAGTATATAAGATGTAACTCTTGCAGTTTTGGACAGTGTTCCAAAATAACGGAATAACTCTCAGGTTTAGCAATTCTCACATCAGAAAGTTGCAACCGTTTTAAGTTTTTGCACTGCGTTAGTACTTTCAAAATGTCATCAGTGAGGAAAGTATGGCCGAAAGACACTTCTTCCAAGCGTTGACAGGAAGAAAGTAATCTGAGCAAGCTATCAGTGATAGGAGGATCGGAAGTTGGCCATAACGGTAAAAAGCTGTAACAAAAATTATATAATTAATATAATTCTTTTATCGCAAAAAGAAAATTAATGTAACTTTTTCAAGATGCTTAAAATGCAAAAAAAAGCAAACACAAATTTCGATTAGAAATACAGTCGCATATACTTAAAAAAAAATAATTAAAATACACACACTTACAGGGGAAGATACACCTTTCGTAAATTCTTACAGTCAGCAAGAATGTTAATAATCTGCGATGTAACGTTCTCTATCTCTACGTCTTGTAAATATATTACTTCCAAGTCCGGACACGAATTTTTCAACTCGATTGCAACTGTGTGTATGTGTATGTTTATACCATTAAAATATAACTCACGCATCCGTTGATTTTTTTGCAGTATTTTGCAAAGACGGTGAGTTTCTATAACTGTATCACAAAGATCTAAATGTTCCAAACCCTTCAGATTCTCGAGATACGAAAATCCTTCGTCGTCTATATGACAGTCAGTTAGGTCCAATTCTAAAAAAATATGTATTAATCACATGCAATTTACCTATAATCTTGACAATCATATATATATATATATATATATATATATATATATATATATAATATTAGGTTGGGGAAAAAGTAATCCATTATTTTTTCGTTTATTTCAAGGCTTTATTTAACATAGCTAAGATTGTTCAATTTAGATCAATATGCACCGTTTTGTTCTACAATTTGTTGCCATTTCAAAGGTAATTTCATGATGCCTCTATCTTAGAAGCCCTGGTCCCTACCTGTGCGAGATGCGTCTTTAACATCCCTTACAGAAATTTAATACTGTAAGTGATTATTTGACTAGTGATTAATTACTTATTTCGAGTATTAAAAGTACTGTTTTTAATGATTTTAATACTCAAAATAAGTAATTAATTACTAGCCAAATAATCACTTACAGTATTAAATTTCTATAAGGGATCGAAATTACCGGAACGGAATTGACGAAACCAAAATTGCGCGCGATTGGTTATGACAGTATCGGAATCATAAACACCATTCACAATTTCAGCCGCCTGGCTTGCATTTTCGCCTTTATCGAAGCAAAATTGTAAAATATACCGAATTTTCTCTTTGTTGACGTCCATCTTTTACGCGCTATAACTCACAACTGAATCGACCAATCACAAAACAGTTATAGAATAACCTATGCGATTAATACATAACGTGATATATATCACTCTAGCCATCTAGCGAAAAAATAATGGATCATTTTTTCCCCAACCTAATATATATATTTATACATACGTTTCAAATTTTTGCATATCTTTGAAATTTTATATAAGGCTTGACCGTTGACAGATGGACATTCATTTAATCTTAAGTGTGTTAAACGCCTGCCGCAATAACCAAGAAATTTTACGAAATCTCTAACATCAAATGCGCTTGCTGTAAGATCCAATTGTTGCAAATGCCTACATTTATGCGTAAAGTAACAAAATTGATCACGCATAAAAATGCGACATGCACATCGTATGTTCAATCGCGTATAGAGTTCAGGGTCTTCTATTAAATTATTAAAGCGTTTATCTACACATTTCATGTGGCATAACGTCCTCAAATCTAAGTTTTTAAATATGTTTAGTAGTATTTCATCCTGCAAAGATAAAATATAAACCTGTAATACACGAGATAACATTGCAATAATTGTTATTATGAGAAATAGACTTCTTAGAATACTTTACAGGTAGGTCAGACAAATTGCAACGTGATAACGCTTTGGATTCATCCAAAGAGAGTTTCATATTTTGTTCATTATTTGAATATCTTTTTGATAAAAGACAACGCGAGTATCTCAGTCCAAGAGGTTGCACATCACCATCAGAGATTTTGACTTGAAAAGTTTCCATATCGCTGCAAATAACATCGCGACATTTTCATTATTAACAGAATTAACAGAAAAACATATTGAATATTACTTAATGTCAGCAATTATAATACCTTTTAGAAATAGTGCAATATTTACGAAAATTCTCTTGCAGATGGACTATATCTAGATGCACATTTCTTAAATCTGCTGTTAAATTATTATCCTCATGATATGCAGAATACATGGAGTGAATTAGTGTTAACACCTCATTTAAACTATTGTTAGGATTTCTAGGAAGGATCAAATCTGATGTACCAATAAGCATCACAGCATCTATCTTTGTGTGAGATTCAGGAATACTGTTTTTAAACACTAGTCTAAGCATTTTGGTTTTGAACTTGCACGGATGCGATAAGGGTGGGGAAAATAATCTTGATGTCGGGTGCATAGTCTTAGACGGTCCATTCCACAACTGAATCCACTTATTAAGAGGATCTTGAGCCAAAATTTGAATTACGTTACCAGGATTATATATTTCGTAAATAGACACTTTGATTGGATATACAGCTTCATGGAACTCAATATCTAAAATGAAAAATATAATTATACTCTCTTCTCAACATGTAAAAACATATCTTCTTTAACGATATCTTTATTATTAATTCAAATCTTACATACCTAAATAATTATTTTTGCAACTCGAATCACTCGAATCACTCGAATCACTCGAATCACTCGAATCACTCGAATCACTCGAATCACTCGAATCACTCGAAT